AAAAAATTTTGTTTCAACACTTAAAAAACATTACCTGTACTATATTAAGAAAATTTTTATAAATGTTACTAAGTATTTGTTACTTGAAGTATAGATCAATGGCAACATATAATAGTTATTGCTTATATTTACGTTAAGCAATACTTTTAAAACTATTACAACCAATATTGTCATTTGAAACAAAAAATATTGTGTTGGGTCTTCATTGTATTATGTATTATGAAGAAAGTGTACCATCAACCCAATTTGCATTTGAAAACTATAATAGGTGAAAGTGCGCTAAACTTAAAGAAAAGTGCTATCCATGTTTTGATGACATCTTGCACGATTTTTTTTAATATATATATTTCTTCTACTCTCCATGTTGTTGTTCCCACCAACACTAAGCCGGACTCGGCTTCTCTCCTATGAGGCAGAGGCATCCAGATTTATTTTGTTTATTTTTTAAAAATAAAAGATATGTAAAAATTGTAAAAAATTTGATAAGTATACTTATCAATTTAATAGTCCAAATTTAATACTAATGCTCTAAATTTGAATAAATTTACTGTTCTCTTCAGAATATATTTAAACTGTCCAAAATATATTTAAAAATTTAATTTAAATTTTTATATTAAATTTAGAGAATCTATATTAAATCTGGATTGTCAAATTCATAACTATATTTATTATTTTTTAGAATTTTTATATATTTTTTAATTTAAAAATATAAATTAAAAATAAAAAATAAAAATATTAAATTCAAACCGTCCATGATATATTTTTATTTTTAAAATGTAAATTAAAAATTAAAATTAAAAATATTATATTTGAACCATCCATGATATATTTTTATTTTAAAAATATAAATAAAAAATAAAAAATAAAACTATTAAATTTGGACCATCCAGATTTTAATCTGAACGGTCTGGATTTACCTCTACCTCAAAGGTTGAGGTAAAGGAGGCCTTTTTCAAAAGAGAGAAGCCAACTCCTACTGAGCCACCCTCCATCATATACGCATGACTCCTATGTCTCCTTCTCAAACTGTCAAACCTCAGCCACCCTCCCACCAACTCACCAAGTCTCAGTCAGGGTCCTTGTGTAATGAGCCCAAGATGGAAGTGCTAGTGTCCCTTGGTCTTCAAAGTTAATATGCTCCGGTCGAGAATTTTAAGCAAAATCCTAGTTGCCTTTGCATTGCTATGTTCCCTAACACTGCCAAAAAGCTCAACAGTTAGCCCCATATCGCCCTTACCATTTCAAAGCATTGCAACTTTGTTATTCACCCTGTTGATTACAAGTATGGATTTTAGAAGATTTCAATACGTAATGTTATAATATTAAACTTAATTTTTTAAGAAAATAAACACTTTAAAAAACATGGCTTGCAATCTTAGCCCTCAACTCGTTAAAAAGGGTCAGACTTGATAAATTGATTGATTTCAGTCTAATCAATTTTATGGGTTTGAGCCCATGTGAGCAAGGCACATAAGTGCTGGCACTTGTTTTTGGTTATACCACTTGGTAAGATATGTCCATAACTTATGAAGTTATGACTCAAATCATGTTGCGAATGCAAAGATCTTATTGCTTGATGATTTGTAAGTATTTCTTTCAACTTACGGACATGCCTTAACTTTAATAAATCTTTGTGATTTGACTCATCTAAATTTTTCTTGTAAAAGAAATAATAATTAGATGTTTAAACTATGCATGTTGAAATGGTTGGATTAAGGGTTAAAATGTAAATTTATTATTGAACTTTTTTGTAAGGTGCAATTGGTATCCTAAAATTTTAAAAAGTGCAATATTCTCCTTATACTTTTAAAAATAGTGTAATTTTGCCCAAAATTGATAGACGTCTAATGTTGACTGTTAACATACATTTTTTTGATTATCCATTCTTTGTTGGCATGCCTTGTGAATGCTTGGCTGGTCATATACTTGTCATTTTCTTCCTTTATTAAAACATATTCATGACCAAAAAAACCAAATTTTCTACCCAAAAAAGGAAAGGATGAAGAGCATACAAAACCATCAGTGGATTTGGAATGAAGATAGAGGGAGGGAAGCCAGGAACATATGCAACAAGTCCAGATTTAAATGAAGTTTGAAAACATCAAACTAATAGATTTGAAGCATACAACACTGTTGGTAGATTTGAAATGAAGATGGAGGGAGAGAAAGGAGGAGCACATGCATAAGTCTAGATCTAAAATGGACGTATGAAAACATCAAGTCAAATTTGAAGAGACATAGAGCGGGGGCTAAAGATGCACCTGCTTTCAGATTAAAGGGTTTGGGGTAGTTGGACCTTCTTTCTAGTTCAGGTGCAAATAAGTTAAAGAGTAAAAATAATCATATGTGAGGTAGTGAGATGCAATCAAATTGGCTAGTTAGAGTTGCTAAACCTTGCAGTGCTATTGATTCACTTTTTTTCAAAGGTCATGTTCATTTTCATATTGGTCATCTTTATTTATTATCTTGAATACATTATGGATTTCCTTTCCTACCCCTATCTAATTGGTCTTACAAGCTGTAATCCTCTTTACAATCGTCCCTTTAATTTCTTTTGAAACCCTTCATATGTCAATTAAACATTTTTCCCTGTCCAGATCTAATTGTGATTTGAAAGCATAAATCTCTTTCCCAAAACATATCCTATTCCTCAATAAAAATGCAAAACATTTCAATTCAATTGCCCTATTATTTTTTCCCTTGTCACTCGTGTTATTTTTATTTTTTGAAGATCTCTTGATGAGGATAACATTAATTACCATTCCTCATTCAATCGACCTATTTGTTTTCGTCAATCAAAATTAACGTGGGTTGCATAATGAAGAAGAGGAAGGGACAAGAAGTTGAAGTGGAATGGATCTATTTTTTTTCCCTCCTTGGTTCTTTTTAATTTTAATTATCAAATCATGCCACGTGGTTGTCAACTTTACTTAGAAAGGAGAGGGGGATGACACATGGACATTTCACCTGAGCTTAGCAAAGTTAACAAATGGTCAGATGTTTGAATTTGTTAAAATTGAATAACATTGCATTAGTTTTAAAAGTTAAGGATAAACATTGCACCTTTTAAAGTTTTAGAATACTAATTGTACTTTTTTAAGGTTGTTACAGATTTAAAATTGAAATCCCAATTACCGCAGCAAGATAGCATTAGACAGGCTGAATTCCAACAAACGAGCAATTCCTATGTTATGAGGTTAGAAGTTGATGGTTCTACAATTTCGAATGACAATAGTGCTATTGGTGGGGTGTTGCGTGATTCTAATGGAGATTGAATCCTGAATTTTAACTGAAAAGTGGGGCAATTACCGCCCACTATTATCGAAGTCTTAGGCATTTTCAAAAGATTTGAAATTTGTTGGCAAAAGGGTTTTCGAGTTGTGGAGGTTTTTTGTGATTGAGCGAATGCTACATCTGCAATTACAAGAGACAACCATAATTATCATCCTTTCTAACAAATTATCGAATCTACTAAGAAACTTTTGATCAAAAATTGGGAGGTCTAGATTAATTTTTTGTATAAAAAAATCAATAGGATGGCTGATTTCTTAGTTAAATTAACATTTAGTCTTAATAATGACGGTTTCAATTTGTACTATCAACCTTTCATTGGGGGTTGTTTTCTTTTTGGGCGTTTGGTTTTGATGTTTTTTAGGCTCCGTTTTTCCTAAATTGCTCTTTTGTACACTTTCTTTTCGAATGAAGGTCCCCAATATTTACTCAAAAAAAAAAAGAATACTAATTGTACCTCAAAAGTATTCATTTTCATTTGATAATATATCCTGAAGGGCGATCCCTTAGTTCTATTTTAAAAGTCAATAATTGGGAGGAGAGATCCAAAAATAAGGTACTGCCCGACAGAACAGCTGAGATGATCCGAGTTGCAAAACATGTAATATGTAAAATTTAATTTAATAGGAAGTCGGTGGAGTTGTACGGTCGACGGAGGTGCCGAACAGAGCCAAAATGGAGTGAATTATTTGGGTTCATCCATTTATTGTTTGTTTTTTAGCCATAATCAATTATCAATTATACAAAGAAGGTGTTTGTGTTTCTGATTCCCGAGGAAACATGAAAGTTACTCAAAGAACAACGTGAGTCACCAAAGGGTTCTTGGCTCAGTGGTGATTGGGGCTGAGCTTGGTAGGGCGGACTACAGTTCAATCTCCTGCAGGGCCAATTGAAAAGGGGCTGGAACCTAATCACCCAGAATTGTTCTTCCAATTTGGATTAGTCGGCCCGAAGGGTCAGATGCCGGGTGAGGAATTCAAAAAAGAGAACAACGTGAGTGCACTAATTTTTTTTTTTTTGGGTTGCTCCAGAGCATCTCACCTCTAACTCATATTTTAGTGGATCGTGACTCATTTCGTATGCGCCATGCGCTCTCCCACATTGTGAGCCACCCAAAATTTTCCACCGTATATTTCGGATAAGTAAAAGTCTAGTCTTCAAAAACTGTCCATTTCAAACAGTGACTCAAAAGGTAGTGGCAAGTACATGTTTAATTTTTTCATTCAAATTAAAATTTTATTTTTATCTCCTGGTCTCATTATTTTAATCCACGTTGAATTTCACTTATCTATTTATTTTGGTTTCAATTTAGTATTTTAATTAATATTCTCTCCTACTATTATTAAATTTAAATAATTAATATAAAAATTTTATGTGCAGGTAATGAAAATAAAACAAGGTTACACCATTGAATACACAACTTAATTGATAAGGGATTATGTTATCTTAACCAGTCCCAGTCGAGTTTGAGTCTATGGCATTTGAGTATTTAGAAAATGAATTTGGGAGAACTAATCTCGATAGACCAACAATGCTTGAATTTAATACAATCATAAATATAAAAAAAATTAAAATTTTAAAAATTAATTAACAAACAAATTAAAACGAAAAGATTATAGTCCTAATTGTCGAAAAAGAGAAAAGTCGCAAGCCGACACGCTCTTCTCATCCATCATCATCGCATGAAAGAGATCGGCGCCAACTGACATACACGCTACAGTCCAAATCAACGAAACCTCCCTCCCATATGCAAAACACCCCAAAATATTTTAGGGCGAGAAAATAGAAAAAGGCCAGGGATTATCAGCTTATTGGGAGGGAAAGAGGTCTCTCGAATCACTCCTGGCGATCCGAGTTTCGAAATCCAGTGACTCGGTGATACAGGCGGCTTCTTCTCTGCTCGCCACGCATCTACGCAACTGTGCCTGTTCGGCATTTTTTTATTCCCTCAATTGTCGCTCCTTTCTCTTGTACCAATCGAGTTTGTTTTTCTATAACGGGGGATGTCAGCCCGCTAGATTTTCGATCCTTGTTGTCAATGTCCGATTCGAAAGTTGAAACTGCTTCGTTTTGGAGGCCTTTGGGTACGGATTTGATCAGTTTGAAGGCAAACTTATTTTTAGTTTTTTGAATTTCTGGGAGGGAAATTCAGTGAGCTGTGAAGATTTTGATTGAATTGGACGATAAGATCTCGGATAGGTAAGTGGTGGGTAGTGGGGTCTTTTCATCCGCGATGGTTGCTGTGTGGCTTCACTACCCCGCTTCCATTGGTGTTTTTCTGTCTGGACGGCGCTGAAAGGGGCTTGTTTATTTGGTTCAATAGATTTGGATAAAATTCCACGACGGCTTCTTCCTAGTGATTTGTGATCTGTCAGTGATCGGAGGTTTCCTTGGTTCTTGGTTCTGTGTAGATTTGCTATTTGTCAACATGATGACCACTAATCTTTTTCACTGTAGAAAGAATTCGTGGCCGCCTGAAGAGTATATCAGTAAATTCACTTTACAGCTGGTAAGCTTCCAATCAGATACCTGTGAATTTTAATATTTCTTGGCTTCTGCATGGTTGTTCAGTTTTGCGGGACGCAAGAAATATGACATGAAGGGTGGTTGCAGATTGATTTGTTATAATTTGATTAATTTGAAATACGATTATTTTCAATAAAGGGGAAAAAAACTTGACGAATCCATATGTAGTAGGATTGCTTTTTTATAGCCAAATGTGATATAAAGTGTAGACACAGAATTTTCGTATTTCCTGCATGTTTTACCTTTTCCTCAATAATGAAACAGCTTTTGTATATGTAATATTTCCGGGGAATCAGCAAAATATTGCATTTCATGAAATCTGTAATACTTGCTGATCAATTTTTTTCATGCTGCACTTGAAGATGATTGCATTTGGAATTTGGATTATGGGTTCGTTAATTGCATATCACTCTTCAGCGCAAAACATAGACATAACTTCTTCTTCTTAAATCTCTACGACACATTCAAATCATAGTTTTTTGGTTATTTAATTTTTTGACTTTTTAAAGTTTCTATGTTATTGCATGGTGACGCAGTTATCCTGCCTTGTCATGCAGATTGAGTTCTTTAGTAATGCAAGCTAGGAGCCTAGGAGTCGGGGGCATTTTTCAAGGCATTTCTTTTTTATTTGAGTGATTATTATAGTCGAACCTGTTTCAGTTTGGAAACTATATAGTATGAAGTTTAGAGTAGTATAGTGAAGCAACGACCAAGGATCAGGACACAATATTTTTAGGGTTTTTAAAATTCTTTATGCTTCATACAGACTGCTAAAATTGAGGCTAAAGCCAGTCTAATTGGACCCTTGCAATTAAGAACGGAAAATTGTGAAGTTAACTGTGTTTTAGCTGATTCCACTTGTATTTAGTACTTTGCTAGATTTTTTCGTTGACTGATTTATTTCCTACACTGCTTCTGCAGCTTGATTTTGATAGTGCTGCCCCACCCGAACAAGCTTGGAGGAGAAGACTAAACAGCCATGCCAATATCCTTAAAGAATTTAGTGTGACTTTTATGGAAGCAATAAAGATGGCAAGTGATTTAATTTATTTATACGACCTATATGCTTGGTCTGACTGGTTTAGTTGGTAGAATCCTTCGTATATATTGATGTCCATGACTAGTTTCCTTTATCCTCTTTTTTCTTATTTTAGTTTGTCTCGTATTTTTTTTCTGATTGCCAAGTAAATTTTAATATTCCAGGTTCGACTAGGCATACGGATATGGTCATATGTCAGGGAAGAGGCTTCTCATGGAAGGGTATATTTCTCATTTTCATTAGTCTGGTGGCTATTCTTCTCTCTCTCTCTCTCTCTCTCTCTCTCTCTGCGCGCTTGCGCGCGTATCTTATTTTGTAAGACAGCAGAGTTTATAAACCTAGTTGAGATTATAATATGCAAACACAAGATCTCAAGTATAAATTTCATGTTCTGGTTCTTGCAGAAAGCACCTATAGATCCTTTCACTCGAGAAAGTTGCAAGCCATCTGCATCTCAAGGAGTTCCACTTGGAGGGATGGGGTATGCTGTGGTTCTTCATCCACCCTCAGCCCTCACCTGATTTGTGTTGTTTTGTTGTTCTCAATGTTATTGATTTAGACATGCCTGTGTCACTTACACAGGAGCGGCAGCATATCAAGAGGATTCAGAGGCGAGTTCCGACAATGGCAAATTTTACCTGGTTTATGTGAAGCTTCACCTGTCATGGCTAACCAGTTTTCTGTACAGCCCTGTTCTTTCACTTATTATCAATCTGCAATGCACTCCTCTTATTGTATTCCTTTAGCCTTTTAGTTCAGATCTGATATATCTATCTATATTTCAGATTTTTATTAGCAGAGATGGAGGGAACAAAAGCTTTGCATCGGTTCTGGCTCCTGGTCAGCATGAAGGGTTAGGGTAAGGAAAATCTAAATCTGCCAAAGTCTGGAAACAATTGTTCTCGATCTATGTGGGTGCTGCAATGCTCCATACATGGTATTACTTATGCTATTTAATTGGAGACCGCATGAACCACTGGTTGAAAAGTTACCTTAAAAGTTAGGATGTTAAAATGTATTTCAACTTTTATGCATAGATTTTTTAATTAGATAAATTTAGCATTAACTCCCTCGTTATAAAAACAACTTTTTGTATATGTTTATTTAAAAAAATATGAAGATAAGTGAGGCTACTTCTATCAAACAGCCAGGCTCACTTAGTTACTGGTTCTGGGTTGCCAAAAGTTTAGTTCATTTTGTGTTTTCGATTTTCATGGATAATTTTTTTTTTCGTTTTTTACACCTATGCCTTGTTTTTCTGACTGTAGAGCTCAAGATAATACACAATTAATTTGAAAGTTCAATAGGTTCTTTGAGAATGCTGGTAACATTGCAGTGATGATTGTGCAATGGTAGCTTGAAACTATTAATATAATAATATTGTTAATGCTCTCTTTATGGTTACATCAGATGTGTCCCGAGTGATTTTCTTTTCCTAATGGCTGGGCAATCATTTGCAAGTAATTTTTAGCATTGAGTGTGGAAATGTGCTACTGTTTTTGACAATAAGTAAACCTTAAAGAAACTGACTCAGAATTCTGCATGACATTTTAATGATGTACTAAACAAAATTTTCAATTCCGTTTGGGAGGAAAGTTTGAGGTGACTGTTGTTCTTACCAAGCTTTGCAGAATATTATTTTGTTCTCTAAGTTGGGGTTGCAAGACACTTTTCTACATGTATTTTTGTCTGGCAATTATATTTCAGAAACAGCCAACTGTTTCAATTTTTATGTTTTTGTTTGGCTTTATTATTTGAAAGAAGCAGGTGCTTTATGATGTATCTAGATAAGTATACATAAAAGCCAAGAGCTTATGTTAAGTCTCATTTTAGGTCTCGCAAGAAGGGCGATGATCATGGTATATCATCATGGGGCTGGAATCTGAGTGGCCAGCATTCAACTTATCATGCTCTATTCCCAAGAGCTTGGACGATATATGATGGTATTGCATTTCCTCTTCCTTTACTTAATATATGTGATTTTTGTAAATTCTTGACTAATAGTTGTTGTCTTCTTTTAGGTGAGCCGGACCCAGAACTAAAAGTGTCTTGCCGGCAGATATCCCCATTCATACCACACAATTATAAAGAAAGTAGTCTTCCTACTGCTGTTTTTGTTTATACGGTTTGTAATTTTCTTCTACAATGCTGACATATCTTGTGGCTATGCATTTCATTCATATTATCTGTTGAATCAGTGTTTAACTGTTATTCCTAGATTCACACGCTTGTAATTGTTTCTTATGTAGTTGGTAAACACTGGCAAGGAGAGAGCTAAAGTCAGCCTTCTATTTACTTGGGCGGTATGATTTTATTTCGGGTTGAAGTGTTACTGCACCCACTTGTTACAAAAAGATATAGGAAGAGGGAAAAAAAGGAACTAATACAATTAACATTCTTTTTCAAACTAAAGAATGCACTGGCTGGGTCTTGGATAGTAAGTCGTTGTTGTTTGTAATCTGCAGAATTCCATTGGTGGAGTCTCACATTTGTCAGGAGATCATGTGAATGAACCATTCATGTGAGTATATGCATGTGTTTTTTTCTGAAGTATGTTTGTGTATATGAAATGCGTTTGTGTACAATTTCTTAACTTGTTTTCCCTCTCTTTCATAGAGCTGAAGATGGAGTTTCTGGTGTACTTCTACATCACAAGCAAGTCATCAAACCTTATAGCTATATATGACGGTTGGTTTGCAGATTTCTCTTTATACCTAAATGATTAATGGGTGAAAGCAAGGTTTTCAGTGATGAGAACTGAGAAGGTTCTGAAGTCTGAAGTTGCTCTCACTGTTCAGGCTTAAGACTTAAGTGTGGCTCTGCTCCCTATTAGCAAGCTGAGCCCAATATGAACTAGAATAGGCTCCTTCTCCCTATAGTATTGAATAAGGGTTTCAAAGCCTAATGATCTACTGATGGGAATGTAGGAAAAACATGCTTATAAAGACTCAAATCTGATGTCATCTGGGCTTTGTTGTGGTAACTTGCAGTGTGGTTGAAATGTTTATGTTTTTACATTTGATCTTGAAAATGATAAAGAAGATCATGCAAATTGTCAGAGGCTCAGATACTTTCTGATAAATAAGTCTCTGCATGTCATTGTTATGCTGTTCAATTTTTGGCGCAGGTCACATTACATTGGTCAAAATGATTAAACCTTTGTAGTTTTTAACGCATAGTGGAGATGTATGAAAAAGCATCTGATATCTATCTTGTTTGGTGATGAAGCACACAAAGAATAGGACTATAAGGAAGATTTCTTTGTGGTTTACCTCTAATTTCAAGGACAATTTTTTATAGTTCCTATGTATGGTTCATATTTGGGGCTTCAATGTAGTGGGTTGAATGGAATATTATTGCTCTCTTTGGTACTTTGGTTATTGGAATGTTTGTTTGGAGGTTTCAATCTTTAGAGATATAAACAGCTGAATAAAGAATCTTTCAGCTTAAAAACTTAGGTTTCAGGCCATTTTAAGTGAGAGGATTTAGGGTCTGTTTGGTTTACAGTTTGCCAAACTGAAGTTTGCTTAACTGAAATTTGGGTAAAAGTTAGTTATTATAACAAGATTTATGTTTGGATATTTTTTTAAGCAGTTAGTTTGGTGAAATGAAAATTGTTTAGATATTATAAATCAAAAGTACTTTTAAATATATAATTACTAAAATGGGCGTGGATTTGATGATATAGAATTTGATTTGTCAAATAAACAATGTATAAATATTTGTATACAGCTTTAGATGAGAAATATATAGATATAAAAATATATAATATCAAATGATTAAGCTATTTATAGTTAAATTTCTTTGATACAAAATTTAGAAAATAAAATTTCAATATTAAAAATGTTAAAGGGTTAAATGAAAAAATTGGCTCCTAAACTATATGTCCAAGAGCCTTTGGGATAATAAATTTACTTCTAGTGTAATGTTTCCTTTCAACTTTTGAAAATGGTACAATGTCACTTTTACCATTAATAAAAGTTAATTTTGGCCGTTGATTGACTAGGAAATGGCATAACAAGACCTCAAAAATTACAGAAAAGGACCAAGAAAATTTCTTGGTCTTTCTCTATAATTTCTGGGTCCTTTTCTATAATTTTGTGGTTATTTTCTATAGTTGTTTTCCTTTTTTGTTGTTTTTTGGTCAACTAATGGTTAAAGTTAATTTTTGTTAATGGTAGGTTAATATTTTATCGTTTTCAAAAATTGGGGAAGAATATTGCATCAAAAATGAGTTTAGGTTTTTAAATGCTCTTGGACCTCTATAGTTTAGGGACAAATTTTCCATTTTACCCAATATTAAATGTTGTGTGTAATGCATTATTCCACTGTGCAGATGAATTCTCAAATCACAAGGACACGAGTCTTTGTATAATTGTGGGGCCATGTAATGCCATGTTTCTACAGTTTCAATGCTCATTGATGTATAATCTGATGCAAAGTGAGGGTATTATGGTCTAAGGATTTTGGGCGTACTTTTATGTTGAAAATGTTAAATGCAAAAGCAAGTCCAACTTGCTCCAAATGGGCATTTAAAGTCTCATTGAGACAACTAGGGTGACTGTAATTTGCAGGGTAAAATAGCTGCTAAATAACTGTAGCGAAGGCAAAATCAAGGCACCTGGAACTGAAAGAGAGTCTCTGTATGGTTGTGGAGCCATGTAATGCCGTGTTTCAATATTTTCAATGTTCATTTATGTATAATCTGTTGCAAAGTGAGGGTATTTTGGTCTAAGGATTTTAGGTGTACTTTTATATTGAAAATGTTCAATGCAAAAGTTAGTCCAACTTGCTCCAAATGGGCATTTAGAATCTTATGCCAAAGCGAGAGATTTACGGTTGTTTGGGATATACTTGCAGTCTTATCATTCCTGGGATATCTGACTTGTCCTTGGCATGTTGTTATCGAGAATCAATAAACGGTCTGCTATCCTAATTGGTTTCTGTTTTCTAAATACTAGGGAAATAATAAAGATATAGTGATATCAATAGAGGTTGGTCTTGTTGGTATGGTAAAGACTAAGGACTTAGTTTATATCCCACGAGGGCATGTGTTCAAATTTCATACTTAATATAAGGATCTTGTTGGTGGATAATTTATAAGTATTTTTATAAAAGTTCTAAGGTGTGAGACCTTGATAGAAGTCCATTATTGGTATATAAAAGACGGAAGAAGGATTTAAGTCAAAATACAGCAAGGGAGTTAGTTGATAAGGGAGTTATTCATGCTGAATAACTACTTATGTGCTGTCAGTATTTTGATATTGCAGTTTATGTTTCTTATCTTAAGAATGCTGAGTTGTCAAGTGTTAGGACGTCAGTTTGTGTGTGCTGTCAAGTTATGGTTGTAACTGCCACTTCATGGTGTTATTTAATTATAAGTTAATTAAGGAATGGATATGGATGATTTCTGACTCTTTATTTGGAGATTCTGCCTCTTGGCTTTATCTAATTTGAACGAGATCCTTGTCCAGATTTAGATGAAGATTAACTTCCCTACTTTGTTATTAAGATTTAACATTTTGGTATCCGAGCCTGGTTTTCCCCAGGATGGTGAGTACTAGAAACAGTTCTATTGATCCTACTGCTCCTCCAGCAACCTCCAATTTATTAGAATCTATAGTCTAGCAACTAAATCAACTTTCTTCTCGTTTGAATGTGGTGGATGAGATTTCTACAGAAATAGCAACAGTAAAATTACAGCAGCAACATATCTTAGATGACGCTGGGCAATCTTCTCGAAACAAAGGCAAACAACCCGAGAACTCATACTCTGCAGCAAATGAAGAAGACGAGAGAAACATACCTTAGTGGCTTCGAAACCCCACAAGGAGACCACATTGATTTTCCAAAGTTTGATGGAGGCGACCCTAGAGGTTGGATACTTAAAGCAGAAAAGTATTTCAGATATTACCAAACTCCCGAGGATGTGAAGGTTGATGTTGCGGCCATGTACTTAGAAGGCGACGCATTAGATCTTTTTGCATGGGCAACTTCTGAACGCTCAATAATTTATTGGGAAGATCTTGTGCGCACTCTTCAGGAGAATTTCGGTCCTGCAGAATTTCAAAACCCTGATGAATTCTTGTGTGGAATTAAGCAATCTGGAACAATACAAGAGTATCGACTTGAATTTGCAAAGAGATCTGCTAGAGTAAAAAATTGGCTAGAACATTGTTTGTTGGGGGTTTTTCTTAATGGGCTTAAAGAAGAATTACGGGTTGATGTTAGAATTCAAAAGCCTAGATCTATTTACAAAGCCTTGAGTTTAGCCTTAGAATATGAGTCCAAATTACAATTTGCAAAAATTCCCAAGACTTATGGAACTTCCCAGGGCAGTCGCACGTACGCAGCAACCACATGGCCTTCAAAAGACACTCGCACGACAGGTACAGCAACAGCACAATCTTCGGCTAATTCCTCTACTTTTTCACACCGCACAAACACGAACTGGGATGCAAAAAAACAGTTAAGACGAGATAAGGGACTCTGTTTCCGTTGCGGTGATAAATTTATTCCAGGCCATCGCTGCAAAAATGCTAATTTTACTCTCATGGAGATCACTGAAGAACCTGATACAGAAGCAGAGAGGTTTGAAGAAATGAACTTAGAGGGCAAACAAGAAGTGCATGCAGAGATATCACTTCATGCTATTTTAGGACACCCTGCGAGTACTACCATGAAGATGGAAGGCATTGTAAATCATCATAAAGTGCTTATTTTGATTGATAGTGGTTCCACCCACAACTTCATATCTTCTACATTGGTGCAAAATTTGCAGATTCCTACTAAACCGGTTCCTTCTTTTGGAGTTCAAATTGGCAACGGGCATATAATTTATTGTAATAACATATGTCCTCAAGTCACCTTACGAGTTCAATCATTGGAAATTATTGAAGAATTTTTTCCCTTCTCTTTGGGTGGAGTTGATCTAGTATTGGGAATCAAGTGGTTATCTTCTCTGAATACAGTTCAAGCAAATTGGCAACGGATGTTCATGGTTTTCTGGGTCAATGGCAAAAGGTACAAACTCTAAGGAGTCCGCACGGGCAACCAAGCAGAAGCATGTTTGCGTTCGATGTCTCAACAACCTATTATAGACTCAGACGCCTTTCAACAGTCGTTACAACACCTTCTTGATGAGTATGTTTCTATTTTTGATACTCCTACGGCTCTTCCTCCTCTTCGGCACAAATTCCATTCTAGTAATTTGCAACCTTAGGCTACACCACCAAATATTCGCACATATAAATGCCCACATTACCAAAAGGATGAAATTGAACGCCAGGTGGCAGATTTGTTAGCCAAGGGTTTTATACAACCCAGTGAAAGCCCGTTTGCAAGTCCTGTATTAGTGGTCAAGAAGAAAGATGATTCTTGGAGATTCTGCATTGACTACTGAGAATTAAATAAGTTAACTATTCCTGACAAATACCTCATTCCTAATATTGATGAACTCATTGATGAGTTACATGGGGCTACTGTCTTCTCAAAGATTGATTTGTGTTCCGGATATCATCAAATTAGAGTTAAACGCACATTCACAAAACCGCCTTCCGGACTCATTCAGGACATTATGAATTTACAGTCATGCCTTTTAGTCTCACTAATGCTCCAGGTACCTTTCAATCTGCTATGAATGATCTTTTTCGACCATATCTAAGGCATTTTATTCTTGTCTTCTTTGATGATATGCTAGTCTATAGTCCTACAATGGTTGACCATCTAGTACACCTTCGTACCGTCCTCTCAAGACTACAACAGGATGCTTATTTTGCTCATGGGAAGAAATGCTCTTTTGGTCTACCTCAGATAGATTTTTTAGGGCATGTCATCTCATCTGGAGAGGTTGCTATGGATCCTTCCAAGATACAAGCTGTGTTGGAATGGGCTAATCCAACTACTATTACTAAATTGCGGGGATTTCTTGGTCTTACAGGTTATTATAGAAGATTTGTGCATCATTATGGCCAACTTGCTCGTCCGTTACATGACCTCACCAAACAGGGTGCTTTTTATTGGTCTTCTTTGGCAGAACAATCTTTTCATAAACTCAAACATGCATTAATTAATGCACCAGTTCTCCATTTACCAGACTTCAACAAGCCCTTCATCGTAGAATGTGATGCTTCAACTTTAGGTATTGGTGCCATCCTTATCCAGGATACTCATCCCGTTGCCTACTTCAGTAAAGGGTTTACATTTTCTAATCGTGTCAAATCTGCTTATGACCGAGAATTATTAGCTCTCGTATTAGCTCTGCAAAAGTGGCGTCATTATCTCCTTGGTCGCCATTTTGACATCTATACTGACCATTACAGCCTTCAATATCTAATGGATCAATGACTTTCAACTCTGGATCAACAGCGGCTTATAATGAAGTTGTTACCCTTTGATTTTACCATCAAACATTAGAGTCGCTGTAATAATAGTGGTGCTGATGCTCTTTCACGCCAACCTCAACATGTTGATTTTATGGCTCTTGCTATTCCACATAGTACAGATTTTGATGACATTGAAGCATGGATTGATCAAGATCCTTCCACTCAACACATTAAAAGATCCATTCTTCAAGACCCTACTGCTGTTCAACATTATGCTTTGGTCAATGGGAAATTGTTTTATGATGGGCGTTTAGTCATTCCTAATCATCCTACTCTTAAATCCAAGTTGTTGGTAGATGCACATTCATCTCTTATAGGGGGGCATGGAGGATACCTTCGTACTCTCAAACAATTACAAACTCATTTCTTTTGGCCTCATATGAAGCGAGATGTCAAGCTGCATGTTCAAGATTGCCATGAGTGCCAAATTTTAAAATATCAAACTTTGTCTCCAGCAGGATTACTTCAGCATATTCCCCCTCCACATCGTATTTGGGAAGATATTTCCATGGACTTTATTGCCGGATTACCTAAGTCATGTGGAATAGATATCATATTTGTTGTGGTTGACCGTTTTAGCAAATACATTCATCTTATTGGCCTCTCTCATCCTTTTACTGCCAAGTCCGTCGCTGCCGTTTTTAGTCGTGAAGTGGTCCAACTTCATGGTGTCCTACTTCCATCATTTTAGATTGCGACCCGGTCTTCCTAAGTAGTTTTTGGCAAGAACTCTTCCGTCTTAGTCACACTTAACTCAGGATGAGTACAGTTTATCACCCACAAAGTGATGGTCAAACAGAAGTGGTCAATCGTTGTGTCGAAACCTATTTACGTTGTTTTGCACATGAACAACCGAAATTATGGAGTAAATATCTTCATTGGGCCGACTACTCTTTCAATACTAGCTTTCATACTACTACAGGCTTCACTCCATTCCAGATTGTCTATGGTCGTTCTCCTCTACCTATTCTCCCTTATGTGTCTGGTGAAACCAAAGTTGTTGATTTAGAAACTCAACTTTTGGAACGAGATGCCATGTTGCAGATTATTCGGGATAACCTCCTCAAAGCTCAATCCAGAATGAAAGCTCAAGCTGATGCTCACAGACATGATATTTGCTTCAAGAACGGGGACTTGGTCTGTCTAAGAATCCAGCATTATCGCCAATTCAGTTTAGCTAAGAGAAAGTATGAGAAGCTGTCTCCGCGCTTCTTTGGCCCATATCAGATTGTTCGTAAGGTGGGATCTGTTGCTTATGAGTTGCTCCTACCTCCTGATGCCAAAATTCATCCAATTTTTCATGTCTCAATGCTGTGCCCTGCTCATGGCACTCCTTCTTCTTCCACATCACCTCCTCTACCACTTTCAGACGCTTGGGAGCTTCAGTTACAACCTCACAGTGTCCTTTCTCATCGCTGGATTTCTTCAGGCAGCTCCAACATCCTTGAAATACTTGTTTCTTGGCTTGGCCGTCCTCAAGATGAATCAACTTAGGAGGAATATGACCTGATTCGGGACCAATTTCCTGATTTCAGCCTTGAGGACAAGGCTGTTTTTAAAGGGGGGATACTGATAGAAGTCCATTATTGGTATATAAAAGACGGAAGAAGGATTTAAATCAAAATACAGCAAGGGAGTTAGTTGATAAGGGAGTTATTCATGCTGAATAACTACTACTTATGTGCTGTCAGTATTTTAATATTGCAGTTTATGTTTCTTATCTTAAGAATGCTGAGTTGTCAAGTGTTAGGACGTCAGTTTGTGTGGGCTGTCAAGTTATGGTTGTAACTGCCACTTCATGGTGTTATTTAATTGTAAGTTAATTAAGGAATGGATATGGATGATTTCTGACTCTTTATTTGGAGATTCTGCCTCTTGGCTTTATCTAATTTGAACGAGATCCTTGTTCAGATTTAGATAAAGATTAACTTCCCTACTTTGTTATTAAGATTTAACAGACCTACATTGGCTCTAGTGAGTCCTAAAACCAAATTCACCAAAACTTTTTACTTATGAAGAAAAATAAATAAAGGGATAATAATAAGCTGATCTGCCTGACATATTTGTAGGCTTGAAATGCTATTTAGTTATCCCCCAAATGATAAATGATTGTTTCGAAATATCTATAATCCACATAAGGATCAAAAGTGCCTTGCGTTTGCAAAAATGAAGAGATCAAAATTTAGTTCTCTATCATTCCTGGCATAAATTAGTTAATGAGATTTTTTCTATAGTTGATCTTTTTTTTTTGGGGGGGGGGGTTTTGTTGCTCAACGCTCTGGCAAATGAAATGAGAATTTTCAACCACGTTAAGTGGTTTTAAAGCAATTAAATTGTCTATACTTTATACTTTGTTTTCTAATTTCTAATGGAAGTTTCAGTCCTGACGAGCATGCCTGGATTTTTCTTATGCGTTTATGATTGGGTTCACATATCACAAAATAACTAAAGTTCATGGCGGAAGTTTTCTTAAGGATATTCCAATATTGCAGGACAGCAAAGGGAAACCCTCCTGTTACATTCTCCATAGCTGCTTGCGAAACACAGAATGTAAGCGTTTCTGTTTTACCATGTTTTGGGCTGTCTGAAGGAAGTATCACAACAGCAAAAGATTTGTGGGGTAAAATGGTGCAGGTATTGGTTACTCGAGCATTTGCGCTTCCTGAATTAGTTTCTTTTTGTTCATTGCATTTTGCCCAGATATCTCCAGCATGGATATATGTAGGGTTGATACTAATTGAAGTAATTGTATGCTAAGGATGGACAATTTGACCGGGAGAATTTTAATGCTGGACCTAGCATGCCTTCATCACCAGGAGAGACGCTCTGTGCTGCTGTCTCAGCTTCTACATGGGTGGAACCTCATGGAAAGTGCACTGTGGCGTTTGCTCTTGCATGGTCATCTCCAAAAGTAAAGTTTGTGAAAGGCAGCACTTTCAACAGGTACTATATTTCAGGTTCTGATATTGTTTAGGCATTTGTATATTTTTGAAAGAAATTCATGTAAATTTAAGATGTGTGAAATATAAATAAATGTTTTGCATGTGTTTTTGTTATACATATGTAGGAGAGCTATTTCTGGTCTTTGTTGGTTTAATACTAGTTTGAGAGAAGTATCATGGGTTGCATTTTGAGTTGATGTAATTGCAATATGTTGAATTCTGTTGGTAGTGCTTGTGAGTGCTTAGGCTCACTAATTTCTACACATATCACTTATTCCAACAGTCTTCTTCTAAAGCACGCGGGGTTGCTCAAGCAAGAATCTGAGGGATTTAAATTCTGACTCTTTTTAGTTATCGTAAAAGTCTATTGTTTCCATGCATGTATTTTGAAATGTCCAAGAGTGTTTCTCTAAATTATAATTTCTGACTGAATCAACTACTTCTTTAGTTTACTGTTACTAGTGAAACTAAAAACAGCAAACAGAAAATTTCCCTCCACCGTTAGGAGTTTTAACATTACTGTTAGAAACTACTGGAATGGAATTGATTTTCTTTTTATAGCATTTTTTCCTGATGAGTTCAAATCTTTTACTGCAGGAGATACACAAAATTCTATGGAACTTCTGAGAAAGCTGCAATGAACCTGGTGCATGATGCCTTGACAAGTATGCATTCTGATTTTAATTAAATTCATATTCATCAGGCCTGTTTTACTTGCATGATTAATTTCTGGTTTATTTGCATTGCCAATCGTGCTATTTGTCCATGCCTGCTTGAATTTTTTATATTGCGAGATCTAGAAAGGCGGGAATATTGAAAAGAAAACATGTCCAAACTTGTTTTTAGATTAAGATATATTATTTAAAACCCTTTTTTGTTTTTGTATCTGGACAGATTACAAACGGTGGGAAGAAGAGATTGAGAAATGGCAAAGTCCTGTTCTTGAGGATGAAAAGCTTCCAGAATGGTAATATTATAACTTCAGTAATAAATTAATTGCCACTATAAAAAACTGTGCTGAATTGAAGCCATAAAGTAAAACTTGCATTTTGTATATGCCTAATTTACAGCTTTTGGCTGCATTATGATTGCTTAAACTTCTCACTTTCAAAGCAGAGAGATTTCTTCCTTCATTTTGTCTTTTGTTATATCAGAAAGTGCTCTCTCCATACATCTGATCTAAACATCTCATTTTTAGTAGTCCTTGGGCTAAATATAACTCTAGTTCTTACCAGGCCATAGCTTTCGTTTTGTATCATTTAGATAAATATACTGTATTTTCTTTTGTTGTAAATGTCTTTGTTCTTTTCTACCTTATTTTGTCAATGGCAGATTAATAAGGCATTTTCTATTCAGGTACAAGTTCACATTGTTTAATGAACTCTACTTTCTGGTTGCTGGTGGAACAATTTGGATTGGTATGTGTGAACCTATGCATGTTGTATTGCTGTTTTGAGTTATTTTCATGATAGCATTATGTGATCTTGTGGATCCTTCTTTTTAATTTGGTTTTCATGGAAGCATTAAGATTAGTTTGATCTTTGTGCCAGATTCTTCTTTGCGATCTGCTTGTGTGAAAAGTGAGCCATATCAAGTAACAGAGTCAGAAAATGCAAATGTGGAAGTAACTGAAGCTCGAGTGAACAGACTAGGTGCAGTTGTTGAGTGCACAACAGATAGTGCCCAAAATACTGCTACAACAGGACAAAATCACAAGGATGAGTTTGTGGCTCCTCTCAGAAAGGAAAATCCCACTGGCACTTTGCAGACCTTAACGATGATGGACCAGCAATGTGATAGCAATGACGAGGATGTGGGCAGGTTCTTGTACCTGGAAGGTTTGGAATATATCATGTGGTGCACATATGATGTCCACTTCTATGCTTCATTTGCCCTTCTTGAGCTCTTTCCTAAGATTGAGCTGAATATTCAACGTGAGTTTGCTAAAGCTGTCCTGTGTGAAGATGGAAGAAAAGTGAAGTATTTGGCGGAGGGAAATTGGGGGATTCGTAAAGTTAGAGGAGCTGTGCCTCATGATCTGGGGACACATGATCCATGGAACGAAATGAATGCATATAACATCCATGATACTAGTAAGTGGAAAGATTTGAACCCAAAATTTGTACTTCAAGTGTACCGAGATTTTGCTAAAACTGGTGATATGTCATTTGGAGTTGATGTATGGCCTGCTGTTCGAACTGCAATGGAGTACATGGATCAATTTGATAGGGATGGTGATGGTCTTGTTGAAAACGATGGATTCCCTGATCAAACATATGATACGTGGACAGTTCATGGGGTGAGTGCATATTGTGGTTGTCTTTGGCTTGCGGCTCTTCAAGCTGCAGCTGCAATGGCTCTTCAATTAGGTGACACAGATTTTGCTGAGACATGCAAAAGAAAATTTTTGAAGGCTAAACCTGCATTTGAAGAAAAACTTTGGAATGGCACTTATTTTAACTATGACAGTGGGTCAAGTAGTAACAGTAAATCCATTCAAGCAGATCAACTGGCTGGGCAGTGGTATACTGCATCCTCAGGGTTGTCTCCCCTTTTCGATGATTTCAAGATTAGAAGTGCTCTCAAGAAAATCTTCGATTTCAATGTGATGAAAATTAAAGGTGGCAGGATGGGTGCTGTGAATGGAATGCATCCCAACGGAAAGGTGGATGAGACCTGCATGCAGTCTCGAGAAATATGGACAGGGGTGACATATGGTGTTGCTGCTACAATGATCCTTGCAGGTATGGAAGAGGACGCCTTCACAGCTGCTGAGGGTATATTTATAGCAGGCTGGTCTGAAGAAGGATACGGGTAACTCCCTTTTGTTTGTCATATAAACGTGGTGTGTGTTGTGTACGAGTGAATTATAGTTTCACTTTCACTCCTGATGGTTCGGCCCAAAATTAGTCTGTTCCTTTATGATTTCGGATGCGTCATTTAATCCTGCTCTACTTTGTTATGTCATCACATAATTATTATGTGATTTCAGTTGCATTGTTAAATGTTTCACTTTGTATCCTGTACAATTTTAGTGTTCAGAGATTATTGTTACAATTAAGTTGACAGATTCAATTTCAAATTGGCAACTTAATATCACCAATGACTTGTACTATGTTGTGAAGGAACAACGGGCTTTGGACAATGAATATCATTTTAATGTACACATGATTTTCTATTATGATTCTGAACTTATAATATCGGATAATTAACTCCCTTTATAGTACATGGTGACAGACTGATTTTGGGCAGAATATGAGGGGTTAAATCATAACTCACTGTGTATATAATTAGGTTTTCTTGTTCTTCAAAAACTTAATTTATATCCTTTGCTCCATAATAGGTATTGGTTCCAGACACCAGAGGGATGGACGATTGATGGGCACTACCGGTCCCTTATATATATGAGGCCCCTCGCAATTTGGGGTATGCAGTATGCATTGAATCTGCCTAAGGCAATTCTTGAGGCCCCAAAAATCAACATCATGGACAGGATCCACATATCTCCTGCTATTGGAGGATTCTCTCATAATGAAACTACTGTGAGAAAGATTGCGCCAAAATCCGGCTGCTTTGGAAATTCTGTGTTTCATTGTGCTTGCTGATATTTAACAGTTTTGTACAGGTATGTTTCATTGAAACAATTCCCAGTCCAGCTATGTTGCCTGTTAGTAATGATGGTCAAGTTCTGGGTAGTGGTCATTGCGTAAATAATGAGTTGTCATTTTGGTGGCCTTAGTTTAAACCATGTAGGCTTGTCTCTGTAATTCTGACACTTTTTCTTCTTTCAATTCTTTTCAAGGTAATTTAAATCGTATTTTGCATACGCCCAAACGTAGGATTTTTTCTTTTAAGGTACCAGCACTTTCCTACAGAGATGCAAGGGGTTCGAATGGTGCTAAATCAAATTTGTCGTTTACGTATGAATATTAGAATTCTGCTAAAAACAAATTGAAAAAAATGATAATAAAATATATCTGAATTATATCAATGACAATCTAGTTTCACCAAATGTTATAATTCTAATGAAGTCTTTGGGGGCTTATGTGATAATAAATAATAAATTTTAAAGTGAAAAAATTATTTTATCTTTACTGAAAATTTTTGTTTGATGAATCACAACTTTTATTTTGTAAATTGTAAAAGTTGAATAAAAAATTATAACTTGTCAAGTGTAATTTCTGTCATTAAAAAACAGATTCAATCACAATTTTTATTGAAAAAATAATTTTTTATTTCTTAAATAATAAGGATTGAATAAAAAATTATAATTTGTTAAATATAATTTATATTATTAAAAAAATAAGATTTTAAAATAATAAATTTCATTCATAATTTTTATTTAAAGAATTATAATTTTTATTTTATTTAAAGAATTGTGAGAATTATATAAAAATTATAATTTATTAATAAAAGATAAAATGATATTTTTAATTTAAAATTTATTGATAAAGGGGTTTTGAGAGATTTATTATGATATATTAAGAAATTAAATTATTATTTATATGATTTAAAAGAATTTTATTATCATGTTTTTTTTAAAAAAAATGGTTGGTTGGTTGTTTGTTTTTCGCCCACCATTTATTTTGTCGTACAATCCATAAATTCTTGGGCTCTTGTATCTCTGGCTAGTGCAGGCTCGGCCGCTGGGTATAAACAACGAAAGAAGAGATCCTGAACGATTTAGATGTAATATTTGTTAGGAAAAATTACATATAAATTTCATAGAACAAATTTATTTATAAATAAATTTTATAAAATTGAGAAATTACAATTAAGTCTCTTGAGATCTGAGTGTAATTTAAAATTGAGATAAAAAGATGATAATGTCCCTATTAAATATATTTATATTACATCGATTAAATAATTTATAACTATTTCATTAGTAATTTACAACTATAATTTTAATATTTTATAACTGTAATTTCATATATATATATATATAATAATTAAATTAATTGTTTAACTATTGAATATGTGAAGTTATAAGTGTAAAAATTTGAAATTATAATTATACATTATTAATTAAATAGTTGTAAATAATTAATATTAACCTTTGTTAGTAATTATGTGAAGTGACAGTTGTTTTTAAAATTTAAAATTATAATTATAAATTACTGATAAAATAGTTATAAATTAATCATTTGATTGATGTGATATATGTTTTATAAGAGAATTATTGTCTTTGCAACCTAATTTTAAGTTATATTCAAGTCTCAAGGGACTTGACTATTTTACAAGACCTATATGTAATTTTTCTTATTTATTATATCTATATAATTGTTGTTTTATTAATTTTCATCAAAGAAAATATATGTGGTTTTATGTAGTTAATGCTTTGTTATTTTATTCCATTCTGCATGGAAAAGGTCGGAAAAAAAAAATTAAGGACGAGAAAGTTGCTAGGTGGGCCGAATGAATATTGGCGATGGCATAAGGTTAAAGGAGAAAGAAAACGTAGATTAAACTTATTATTAATGCAGGACACCGGTATTATTATTATTATTATTATTATTATTATAAAAGAATTAATAGATAGAATGAAAAGAATATTTTAATATAAACTTATTAATAGTAAAAATAAAATAAATTTGAAACAAAACTTGAATTGTTCATATTACGCATCCAAATAAAAACGAAATTGATGTGCCGCTTTTTTAACTTTTAATATCGTTTTTTTTTTTAGGCGAATGACAAGGGTTACTGAGTTTAGAAATATTTGGTAATTGATAATCCATATATATTATTGATATAATATAAATAATGCCTTTAGTCGATTTAATTTTTGAATTAAAAATGATTATAGAAACCTTCTAATTTTTTAAGAAAAAGAGTTTAATATTCAGGGTCCATATTTGATGGTGGGAGTCTCATGTCACTCAATTTCGTGCCGTGGGCCAATTTTGCGTTGAAGAGTCTGTAAATAAAGTAACCACAACACTTCATAAAAATAAACAAATAAACACAATATGGCAAAAGTTGAACACAAATTTGTCAGAATCATTGAAAAAAAGCAAAACAAAAAGCAAAGAGAACAACTTGTGAAAGGCAAATTGTATTCGTATTCCATTCCAAGAGCTCAGCCATCATCTTTCTAGTAGTTGCGCTTTTTGTGGATAGCAATGCATGGCGATCGATGACCTTGTTGCTTTCAAAAGCAGTTTCTCATGACTCCTACGCATGCGCATATGTCATCATCAGTTTAACCAATTAACCCCAATCTTCCCTTTTCCTCTCAGAACTTTTGCCCTAAGCCTTTGTCATTAACCTAGTCCATAATTTTGGTTATGTCCCCTTTTATCATTTCATATCAACAAAAAGTTTCAAACAGCAAATTTAACCAACTTTAGTGAACTCGTTTCTACTCCTTTTCCCCCCTTTTTTGCAGGTGATGGAGGGAGAGAATAGGCTGCGTTGACCCCGTCTCGAACTATCGTTTCTCACACGCTGGCTAATATTTTGATCGAGTGCCTCTGTTATGGCCATTATTTATTAATTATTTTAAATTAATATGCAAGTCAACTGTAGTCTGTAATGCTACATTGGTTCACATATTGCATAATTTTAAAATTATATTATCAGTCGGAGGCTAAAAAATGATATGACCAGGGTTAGTTTCTCTCAATGTCAATATATATTGTAATTTTGTAAATCCCGTTGTTGGCGATAGATTCCATCGTTGGAGCGTTGGAGAATAAATTGTCCTTTGTATTTAAGTATAACTGGAAGTGACAAATACTAAAATAAAATAAATTGTTTATTATTCTTGATCCCATTTCTATATTTCAAGCACTAAAAGTATCTCCATCCATCACATGATAAATTAAAAGTATAGTTATTTCTGTTATGTCAAAGCTTCTTTTATGACTGCAATTTTTTGTATGTATAAAATTGAAAATTGGTATCTTATTTTTTAAAAATTTTATGGATATAGACAAAAAAAAGCTCTTGATAGACAAATGACAATTAAATACTACAAAGTATTATAATTATTAATATTTAGGTCTTCAAATTTGTCTAGAATTTTGATTTTTGGTGAAATGACATGCTATTTATTTTAAGTGATTATTATAAGAAATGACTACTTTAAAATGTTATTGACTAAAACAAAATAAAAAGTGAGTACTTTCTTTATGCAAGTTTGTGATTTATAAACTGATTAGAAAATGATTATTTTCTTCTTGAAAATAACTAGTTTCTTTTTATAAAATTACTATTTTAATTACACTTTATTGATAAACAAATCTACAAAATATATGCAATCATTCTCTATCCCATTTTAGCCAATAACTCAATCAAGGTAATCATTTCATATAATGGTCAATGAGTGTAAACATGTTATTTCATCAAAAATTAAAATATTAGACAAGTCTCAAGATTAAATAATTATCATATTTTGCAATATTTAATTGTTATTTATATATATTAGATGTATATTTTTGTCATTTTTCCTTCTTTTTTTATTGATGTTTGAACAAAATCTTATTAGATATGAAAACAATCGTATACTAATCATTTTTATAAACAATGAATCGTATACTTATCTTTTGTTTTTTAAGTACATGTACTGAAAGTGGCGTAAAAAAATAATAATAATAATAAAATTTTTTTAAATTATATAAATAACAATATAGTCCATTAAAATGTCATAATTTCATGAAAATTCTTAAGAATTTATGTATCAATAAATTTTAAAGTGAAAAAATCAATTTACTCTTATTAAAAATAAAAAATCCTAATTATAATTTTTATTTTAGAAATAATAACTTTGGTTCTATGAATCATAATAAATGAACATTAAATTATAACTTATCAAATATAATTTTTATTATTAAAAAATAAACTTCAATCATGACTTTTGTTTTGTAAATCATAAGAGTTGAATAAAAAATCACAACTTATCAAATATAATTTTTATTATTAAAAAATAAATTTTTAAAATAACAAACTCGATTCATAATTTTTGTTTAAAGAATAATAACTTTTATTTAAAGAATCACAATAATTAAACAATAAAGCATAACTTGTCAATAAATGCAAAATAATCTTTTCAACTTAAAATTTATTGACACAGAAGTCTTTATAGACTTTAATAAAATTATGACATTTTAAAAAATTAAATTATCATTTTTATAATTTAAAAGATTTTATTATCATTTTTCAAAAAAAAGGGGTAAACGAAAACAAATGTATTGGTGTCCGAGAAATGAAAATAAATGAGAAAACATAATGTAAAATTAGCCAATTGTCACAGGATTATTACCTTTTCTTCAAAAAAAAAATACTTTAATAAAATAATAGCGTACCTACTTATATAGTCAAAATATTTCCCAAGTCTTTCCATTGTGAGACATAGCAGCTCCTAGCCAATCTGTAATGCCTCTATCACGCGTGGCCTACTAGAAGAATTTATTAACTAGACAAACCTGAATCTAACTCTAATATTATTTTGTTACATGATCACTACTCTCTTCTAAAAGACTAGTAAAATAAAATGTTCAGTGCACCAATTAAAGTGGAGTTGGAAGTAGAAGTGGAATTAAAAGTGTGTTTGATATGTTGATGGAAGTGTGAGAAAATTTTTAATTAATACAACCATTTATAACATAAAAAGACTCATATACCCTTGCCGAAAAAAACCTCACCCACCACCCCAGATCGGCGGCCTCAACACGGCAAGGGATCTCCCCAAGAAGCTCTGACAGCATAATGGCCATGAGTGGTTGTAGGGTGGGGAGTCACTGTTGTTGTTTGAATTGCTACCAAGCCACCCCTTCCACTAATCTTCCTCAATGGCCCTAACCTTCTAGAAGGATCTCTATTCTA